ATTTATTGCAAATTGAAAAAGCAAGCAGCAGCGGCGTGGCACCAACACTAACCAACAATACAATTCACGAATATTTTGTTTGATTTTAAATTTCAATTGGTTTGGGAGAGCAAACTACTCTATTGACGGAATGAATGGGAAACTGATGTCATTACAGAGTCACTCCGTCTGGCCATAACTCCTTCCCCCTTCCCCATTGCCCCTTGCCGCTTTCTGTCCCTTGCCCCCTTGCCAATTCCCATTCCCATTTGCTTTGTTGTTACAGACTTTTTATTGCCTTCAATTATAAAGCAATCAATTGATATTTTATAGCTCTCTCGCTCTCTCGCTCTCTTCCTCTCTCACTTTCCGACACAGCCGTCGCATTGCGTCGTTTGAGAAATGTATTCAAATCCAAAGGGAGAGAAAAAGGGTAGAAATGAAGTTCTACCGAAGCTTAGATACCCTGTGCAAAAGAATGGTTCCCATGTGTCGTAGATTAAAAACAAAGGGTATCCAGAAAATATTCAGCAATAAATAAATGAAGTACAGAAAAAAAACAAAACAAAAATCTACGCAGCAAAAGTAAAGGTCCCGTTGGTTACTTCACCCAAGGGTCTCGTACTTACGGAGCGCAAGAGAGAACATGGCCAGTGAGCGAGAGGCCAGCGTTGAGCTTTTTTTGTTGTTTTCAAAAGATTCATGGAATAGCTGAGAGAGTGCAAAGCCTGTGCGTATGCGTGTGTGTGTGGGAGAAGCAAAGCTCACACATTAAATGAAGAGTAGGTAGCGGGAGTCAGAGTTTGCGGACACGATCGGACAGGCACAATTCTGCCTTCAATTTTAATGACTCGAACGGGTAACACCGTGGAATGGAACTCTTTCTCTGGTAAGAAAGACTTCACAGTCAATGAAATTACCATATTTTATCTCTTTAATTTTGACACTTGAATCAAATTTAGATCAAAGAAAAGCGCCTTGAAAATATCAAATACAAATATCTCAACAGAATACAGAAAAAGTAGGGCCAGATATTAGAATCTATTGGTCTGCCTAGATTTTAGTGTGTCTATAGAACTCTCCCTAAAAGTATCTAAAACTTGTCGAAATTCAAACTTAGTTTATCTCCACCAAAAATGGGTATTGAATTCATACCGCAATGGGCAGAGCATAAGGAGGAAACTGACGAAATGCCCAACGGCGTAGAGCCAGAGGATGCAGGAGCTGTAGTCCAGGGGGAACAGAGTGCAGAAGATGCAGTGCAGGAGGAAGAGAGTGCAGAAGATGCAGTGCAGGAGGTAGAGAATCAGGGGCCGAGCCCTATGGTATATCCGTTGGATTTAAATGAGCTGGAGGAGGAATGGGAGGAGACGAAGTCTGATGAAATGCCCAATGTCGTAGAGCCAGAGGATTCAGGAGCTGCAGTGCAGGAGGATGAGAATGCAAAAGATGCAGTCCAGGGAGAAGAGAGTGCAGTAGTTGCCGTGCCGGAGGCAGAGAATCAGGAGACGAGCCCTATGGTGTATCCGTTGGACTTTAATGAGCCGGAGGAGGAGTGGGAGGAGACGAAAGCGGTGGTGCAGAAGGAAGAGGTGGAGGATCTGGAGGAGTCAGAGGAGGACAATTCCATATTGCTGGATTCTAACTATTTGCAGGGTTACCTAGACGCGTTATCCAGTTCGAATGATCGCTTTGCCGAACTAGTATCCAAAATTCAAGGAAACAACGCTGCGGGAAATCCTCCTCCAGAACCAGAGAACTAAGCACCATACCACACGCCCACGCACACTGAGAGAAATGTTATACAAAGCTAAGAAAAAACAAACAATTGTTGATGAAAACAGACACATACCTGAAGACTAGATCACACAATTAATGGTTGAGAGCTCGCTACATAATCCCTATATAATACACGAAAGAAACGACGAATATGCGACTATACGAATAATAAAATTAATCCATGACGAATAATCCAATTAAATCGACAAGAAAAAAACTGTTTTAAAATTTTTTAAAATTAAAAGATTTAAATTGTCTTTTTTATTTTATAAGTCGACTCCTTGTGATTTCTGTCATGAATATTTTCTGTGGATTATGCTTCAAAAATGTGCCCCACAAAAGGGTAGCAAGAGAAGCCTGCAACTTCCCATCTTCCATCGTAAAACTATTTCCCGAGAAAAAATAAGAAAACTAATAATATTTTGCCAGCCCAAAACTTTTGGTGAAACTTTTCCAACAATGAATACCCATTAAAAACAATACGAAATTTTGGAGTTGTGTTTTGCCAATTGAATGGCTGCCAAAAAGAGTCAACAAACAAAGGTGGTGGCAGCTGAGACTCTTCCCCTTATTGGAAGAGTTTTTCCGGCGAAAACAATTTGCCAAAACTACTTGGTGCGGGGGAAAGGGGCCAAAAGGCAGCACCAGCACACACTCGTGGATGATTTCTGAATATGTGCTTCGTATGAATCTTACTTCCTGGTAAACAGAAACACAAACAAACAAACAGAAAAAGAAGTCCGAAACTGCAATTTGAATTGGTTGGAAAAGAAGAAAATTGCAGTAATTGACACTGGGAAATTATGCTGCTGTTTGGTGTTTCGTTTGGGAAAATGATGATGATGCAGCAGCAGCAGCAATACCAAAGCTGATGATGCTGCATGTTGCTTATTTAATTGCTTAGAGACGGACAACAGGGGCTTAGGGTCCAGGCTTCCAGGGAAGGGGCTTCCGAAGATATAAATTGAGCCCCAAATCCCCCTAATGGCACTGCGCTCCTGGCACTCCTTCATAGGCCTTGTCCATTGTATAAATTCTCATCAATTTGTTAGAGAAACGAGACAAAGACAGTGATAGAGAGAGAGAGAGAGAGAGAGAGAGAGAGAGAGAGAGAGAGAGAGGCCTGAAAGAGAGTATTAAGTTAATGAATGGAAAGAGTCTAAAGCTCAATTAATGAAATTTCATTTAATTACCAGAGAGCGAGAGGCTGTCTACGAAAATTCGCTTAAGCTACCAGAGAGAATTCTCTTTCCAATTGACTGGCGGGTGACATTTGTACGTGCCCAGCAATGTCAGGGGATGTCAGGAGATGTTGCTCCTAGAGGGGTCCGTTTTCCCTTCGGTACCCTGTTTTACAGTCCGCCACATTTGTGGGTCACATGCAACAGGCAACAAGGCAGGGACACGGGCCACAGGCAGCCAGGCAGCCAGGCAGGCAGCATCGTGACTTGCCACATCGATCAATATTGTGTGTGTGTGTGGGGCACAAAGTTCTGCGGCGGCAATTAGTTCCACGTTCAGGCAGAGGGGACTAAGGCTAAGACTAAGACTCCTTGTGGAACGTCCTTCATTTATATGGCAATTAAATTCCGTAGTGAGTGAGCGAGCGAGCGAGTGGCATGTCGTCTTGAGAGCGTCTTGCCACCACTTGCCACAGCGTCTTTGCCACAGGCTCAGGGCATCGCAGAACCAACTAAAAGATGATTTATTATGCGCCCAGTAGGCGTATACATTCCCATTCGTGGGATACATAGATGGAAAGCCTTTCCTTTGAATGTGTAATTAGATATTTGAATGTGGAACTGCAAATAGAAACTGAGACCTGAATGTAAATTAGGGATCTATCTATCTTCATCTTCATTGAATGAATGAATGATGGCACCTAAAGCAACGTAGATGTCTTCTCTATTTAATGGATGAATGGCTTTTAAGAGGGTTTATTGAAATCGATCAATTATCGTAATAATTCGCGAAGGAGTACTGTCGGTAGAAGTCAGCTAACTCCATGGATACTCGCATGATTATCTCACATTTATAGTCACACCTGACTGCACATCGTGTCACAAACAACGTTGTAGTTAATCTGCACTGCTTCACAGCACCTTAAACTAATTAAAACTAGTTAATTAGTGCAGTAGTCTGTCTCTGTATAAAACTTACTCAAAGTGTGTGAGTCATGCATCCGACCTTTGGTTTTTCCACTCACGATGTGAGATGTCAACTGGTATGTCCACATACGACAAAATAGAATAAAAACGTAACCAAACGCGTGTCTAATTTCAGAGTCTAATTACTTACCCCGAGACCCGAAAAAATCGATCAATAATTACACGCACAGGCGGCCACTTTATTTAATTGTCTTTGCCCCTAAGACGGCCATCAATCAGAGTCCCTCACATGCTGCTGCACCTTCCCCTGCCCCCACACACCCATTCGGAGGAGATGCCACGCCATGAGGCAATTGGATGAGGCATCGAGTGCATGGAGCAGCAATGCAAATTGCTTTCGGCCAGAATGAGCTGCGGTTTCACACAAAACTGACAAATGACGCGCTCGAGATGCTGCCGACAAGAAGATGGGAAATATCGAAGCACAGCAGTGAAGATTGGCTATAGGTTGATATATGTATGATATATGGAAGGGAAAGCAAAGATTTTGAAAACAGATAAAAGCTTTCGATTAAATAGTGTTTATCGATTGCAAAAATTCGATAGCTTTCGATAAATTATGGTGATCTGCCATATATTTCTTCTTTATTTTGGCTTCCACTTTGAGAAGCTCCACTGTATGCCAAAAGCTCATTTCAGCTCCACTCTGCTGATCGGTTGCGCCTTCAAACTGCAAGCGACGTCTCTGCTAATTGATTTTGAGCGAATGATTTGGCACGTTTTGCAGTGCAGTTCATTAGCAAAGTAGAGCCCTACCCACAAGACACCCATAGCCGCATAGCCGCATAGCCCCAGAGACAAGACTCTCGGACTCTCGGACTCGATTGGCAGACTCGTTTTGCGGGAGAGGTGTTCGCGTTCGTGTATTGCGTTCTTAACAGACTTAAGTCTGTCTTTTTGGGGTTGGGCTATCGCTTTGGCTACGGCTATGGCCTACAATTTACCATTAAAGTCTGCCGATTTGGCACGAGGTTTGGGCAAACGAACAAAGACACAAAACGAACGAACGAAAAGAAGGAAAGTCTTGTGCAAAAAAATTATCAACTTCTCTCTCGTTCTCTTCCCTTTTTGCAGATGAACGACAGCATATACAGAAGAAAACGTTTACGAAATGGATAAATTCACATCTAAGCGACACCCAGTGCACACCAGTGAAGGATTTGTTCCTGGATCTGCGGGATGGCCATCGATTGTTGGCCTTGCTAAGCAATTTGACACAGACACAGATGGTGAGAGAACTCATTAAAGAAGAGAGAATACAATTGCAATTGCAATGTTCCTTTTTTTCTTCCCAATTAGAAACCCGAAAAGGGACGCATGCGTGTCCATCACATCAATAATCTGAATAAAGTGATTCATGTGATACAGCAGCATGGCGTGAAGCTGGTGAATATCTCCAGTGATGATATTGTCGGTGGGAATCCGAAGCTAACGCTCGGACTCATTTGGCTGATTGCCCTGGAATTCAATGGCCAACATCTAGTCAAAAGTCATTCGAGCAATGGCGTGGAGAAATCCCTTTTGGCATGGGCCCGACAGTACACAGAGCCCCAGGGGCTGCAGCTGACGGATTTCTCCAGTTCGTGGGCGGATGGCCGAGCCTTTCTGATGATCTTGGCGGCACATCTGGCGGAGTTGCATCTGGAGGCGGCGCTGCAGCAGCATGCACTGCAGCGGCTGCATTTGGCGTTCGATTTGGCGCATCGACACTTCAAGATCGAGAAGCTGCTGGATGCCGAGGATGTGCACACGCACAAGCCGGACAATAAATCGATACAGATGTATGTGATGTGCCTGTACCATGCCATGGAGTCCATGCGGGCGGCACAGCGCGAACAGCAGGAGCAGCAGGAGGAGCAGGATAGGGTGCCCTGTACGAGTATTACGGATCTGGATGAGGTGCCCCTCGACACCATGGAGATCTACACCTCTGAGAGTGGTGGCAGCCTGGAAAAGGGATCCACTTTGGAGCTGAAATCATCCATGCGACCCCTGAGCACAGCCACCAATGCCAGTGTGGAGATAAGCGGATATCAGACGGCACTGGAGGCTGTGCTGACACTCCTGCTGGAGGATGAGCAGCTGCTGTCACAGGAGATACCCGATCCGCAGGACTTTCAGACGGCCAAATTTCAATTCCATGAAAACGAGAGCTTTATGCTGAAGCTCACCGAACATCAGGAGTATGTGGGGGAGGCCCTGGAAGAGGGCAGCAACCTGATAAATGAATCACAAAAGGCGGGCGGAGCAGGCCTCAGTCTCGAGGATCAGAATGAGGTGCGTCAGCAGATGGTGCTACTGAATGAACGCTGGGAGACGCTGCGACTGCGGGCACTCGATGTTCAGGCCAAGATCCTCATGAGATTGGCCGAGTTTCAGAAGCAAAAGTTGGAGCAGTTGCGGCAGTTCCTCACCAGCGTGGAAGATCGCATCTCGCATATGACGGACATTGGACCCACGCTGTCGGAGGCGGAGAAGCAGCTGCTGGAGGCACGCGCCCTCAAATCAGATCTCTCCGAGCAGCAGGAGCTGGTGGATAGCCTCAGCAGCATGGTGGTGATAGTCAACGATACGTCGGGCAACTTTATCGATCTGGAGGATCGGCTGAGTGCCCTGGGCGAGCGCTGGTCGCATGTGGTCAAGTGGAGTGACCTGCGCACCGAGAAACTGCAGCAATACAAATGCATCTCGCGCTGGCTGGACGCTCGCGAGCAGGATCTCAAGCAGATGGAGTGCCAGGATGTCACAGATGTCGGCGGCATTACGCAGCGGATCAACGAGCTCAACTATTGTGCCAAGGATCTGCTGGAACTGCAGCGCTACCTCATCGATCTGCGCCAAATGGTGGCCGCCACGCTGCAGGATGGCGACGATCGTGGCGAGCGGGTCCTGGTGCAACTGGAGAGCTACGAGGATCGTCTGGATGCCCTCAAACAGATTCTGGAGGTGCAAACGGTGCGCATCGAAACGAAGGGCTTCAATTTTGGTCGAGATCGTGCCAGCTACGATGACAGTCGAGTGGTGCGGCCCGAGGGTTGGGTGGACTATCAGATGATTATCCGCTTTGGTGAGGAATCGGACGAGGATTCGGAGCTCTCCCATGACTCTGCCACCAAGAAGCGGAAACTGAGGAACGGGGATAACTTTCATGCTCTGGAGGTGCAAATAATGGAGCACTTTTCCCATGTCCAAGAGGCCGAATCGAAGCTGCAGCAGCTGCAGCGGCAGAGTCTGCGACAGCAGTGCGACGTTTTGAAGGAACTTCAAGCGGAAAATCAGCTGAGAAGTGGCACCCTGCCAGAGCTAAAGAAACTGTACGAAGTCTGTGAGCTGGAGGATCCCACGCGGAACCTCATTTTGGAGGACACGCACATCAAGCAGCTGGAGCAACGCTATGGCCTGCTCACCCAGCGTTTGGCCACACAACAGAGCGAGAGCCACACGCTGTTGGCCAAGGAGCGCTACTACAACAGTTTGACGGGCTTCAAGCTGGTGTTGGCCGACTCCCGCGACTGGTACAAGCAGCATGCGGGCACAGCCAGTGGCAAGGAGCTCGAGCAACGTCTCAGCCACATGGAATCGCTGTCGCTGGAGATTTCTGAAGCCAAAAAGGCCACCGAAGAGTTGGATGTTTCGCTGGTGGAATGGAAGCAGGATTTTGGTTTGTTCTACGACAGTTGGCATGACATGAAACAGGCTTTGCAGGCCCTCATCCAACAAAGAGGCGGCGAGCATCTCTCTAGGGAACTGGCGGAGATTAAGGGATTCATGGAGAAAGTGGGGAGCCAAAAGGTGCGCGTTTCCTCGCTAGATATCATGCAGAGTCAACAGCAATCGCTGAACCACTTGGTGGATGAATTGGAAACGCTAAAGGCCAAATTCGAACGCCTCCCGCGGCCCCTGCTGAGTGAAGATCTGCAGGCCACATGGCAGCGGCTGCCAGAGACGCTCAACGAGCGAGTGATCAAGCAGACGACAGCCATCGAGAACTTGAATCATTTTACGGCTGAATATAATGCCATCATAGCCGTGCTCCAGACGGCAGCCGATGGAAAGTCGGCCGGCAGTGGAACGACGAGTCAGGATCTGCGAAAACTGGAAATTGATGTCATCAGTGCACGAAATTTCAGTGAGATTCTGATCAAGGAAGCCGAACCCCAGCAGAAAGAGTCGCTGCAGTCCCAAATACGAACCCTGAACGCCCTGTACGAGAGGGTGGAGCAAGTGCATCACGAGCAGCGGCAACAGCAGCTGGAAATCCACACACAGATGGATGTCATCCAGCAGCGACTCAGGAAAACCGATCTGTGGCTCAGCGAACTGGAGAAGAATACACCCAAATCGGGTGTAGCGGATATATCCAACTCCAATGAGCTCTTCCAAAGCAAATGCCGCTTCCAGACCCTCAAGGAGACCTGCGAACGGGAGACCACAGCCTTCCGCGAACTCAACGAACTGGGGGGCGAGCTGCTGCTACAAATGGATGAGCGGCAGGACAAGGAAAAGGAATCAAAGTATGGCTCACTGGCAAAGCAAATCACGCGCCTGAATGCCCGCTGGACGGAGGTCACCGAGCGGGTGTACGCCAAGACGGCCCTGCTGGAGCACATATCCACACAGCTGGGCGAATTCAAGAAGTTTATGGTCAGCGAAACGGGCTACTTGGATCGGCTGGAGAACAAGATACGAAATACGCCAGAGAATGCAGCAGATGCAGAAGAGATCATGGAGGAATTAGATGTGAGTGTAGAGCCCCAAAATAAATTAAATTAAATTTTGGTATTCCCTTTTATTCTCTTTTAGGATCTGGAGAATGTATTGCGCTCCCACTCTGATGAATGGCTGGAGAAGATTCAGGAAATTGGCACCGAGCTAATTGACAACGAATTCATGGCCGAAACAATGCGTAAGGATATCCAGGACATGGTTGACAGATGGAATCAGTTGCAGCAACAGGCCAAAAAGCGCACAGAACTGCTCGAGGAGAAGGTCAGCGAGGCCGAGCAGTCGGAAAAGTGCATTGTGCAATTCGAGGCATGGCTAACGCGCGTGGATGAGATACTTAGCGAGCATTTGGAGAATGATGTGACCATTGAGGATCTGCCAGATGATTTTCAGGTGGGTTTTTTTTGGGCGTGGGATTAACACCTCTAACACGATACTAAAAGATTCTTTCGTTGCAGCGCCTGGCGCGGGAATTTATCACAAATGAGCAAAACTTTAAGGAGATCACAGAACTCATAGCCGAACATACGAGAAATGGCAAAATGGGTGCCGCCAATCGTCTGCAGGAGCAGCTGAATCTCATGGAGCTTAGATTCAAGGCGTGCCAGGCGAAGCTGAGCAAATGTACGGCCCCACAGCCTGCCTATGAATCGCGATTGAATCGCGCCTATGGCGATCTAAGGAATGTGGAGAGATCTACTTTGGTGCTCGATGTGGCATCCGCGGGACCCAATACGGTGCAAGCGCAGTATCAAAAGTGTTTGGTGAGTGGAAACAGTCCTGCCCTACCATGCCCTACCTTGGTCCGCTTTTTATAATGCAAATCTCTTTGTTTCTTATAGCAAATCTATCGCACACTCTCGGAAATCAAGGCAGAGATCGAGAGTACCATCAAGACAGGACGCAGGGTATGCGAGGATCGCTACACAAAGTCCCCAAAGCTATTGAGTCAGAAAATAGATGCTCTGAAGCATCTGTACAATGCCCTGGGCGAGAATGTGACCCAGTCGAAGGTGTTCCTGGAGGGTCTCCTGTCGCTGGCGCGCAACCTAGAGGAGTGCTTTGATTCGGCGGACACGCTAATACGACGCTTTGAATCCCCACAGGAAATACACGATCGTAACTCTATTCTGTTGGACTTTGAGGAGGTGCTAAGGAAATGCGAGGAGCACTACAATGAGTACAGTAAATCCTGTGATCAAAGCTGCATGGTGGACACACGGCAGAGGATTGATGGCTTGAAGGCAACCTACCACAAGCTCACGAGTGCGGATATCATCAAGAGACTCACCGAAATGAAGGCCACGCTGCAGAACTTGGATAACATTTCGCTGGAGACTTTGAAGTTTGTCTAGAATTGAAGTTCTCCCGCAAGTGAATGATTAATGTAAATTGAATTTGGTTTTATTTCAGAGCAATGGAGCATGATTTGAAGGAGATAAATGTGCCATCGAATCCGGAAATAGAAAAGTTGCAACAACAAGTCATTGCAATTGTTGTGGTAAGCACGAGGAAAATCCTCTTAATTACGCAAAGCTTTTTCTTTCCCTCCTCTCACACTCTCTCTTTCTCTCTGTACATAATACTATATGATTACGGGTTCCCACTCTCTGTCGCATTTATCTGTGTGTCTATTATCAGGTTTCCATTTCGGAAGTACAGCTTTTTGTTTGTCCTCACATTTGCTTACTTCACATTTCGCTACAGTCCTTTCATTCTTATCCATTCGACCAGCCACCCAAGCACCCAACCACCCATTCATTCATTCAATCATCCATCCATCCATCCAGACAACCCTTCTCTTCACTTGTCTGTTTTGTGTGGTTTTTTCTACTCGAACACCTCTGGCAAAAGGAATTGAATTTCTCTCTCGTTTCGTGCCCTCTACTTTTACTCCTTGGATTTCGCCTCATTTGATGCATTCGCACAGCTCTCTATTTAAGATGACAGTCAGCTTTAAATATTGATAAAAATTTGCTTAAGAACGAAAATTGAGGCGGACATGCAGAAATTTTACATTCAATTAAATGGAATTGATGGATTTTGAGACAAAATAAATTGGAAATTAAAGAGAAGTAAAGTGGAATTTTACCCTAATAGAATTTAAAACTGGTTGCAGTGTTTAAAGCTGCTGAACAGTGTTGTAAACGTGTCTTAAATAATGGGGCGGAAATAAGAATAAGATTGAAAATAAACTCAGACTGTAACTACATAATACCGCTTCAGTGTACATTAAATTCGCCTGTCCATCGCTCCTTAACCTTCATTACATATCGTATAAAATATTTACCATGCCATATACCATATATTTGCCCATCCCTATCATACTCCTTTCATCAATGGCTTTTACTCTTCTTTTAATCTTAATATAATTTCAACCCATAAATGTTTTGTTAATTTGCAAAGTTTCATAAAACCATTCAATAATCTCTCCACTCTCCACCCAAAAGCTAATCAAAGAACCAACAACTACCAGTGTTGGTTAATCATCATCCCAAAAACCAAAATAATAATAATAAACCACCAAATAAAAAAAACCAAAACCATGTTTAAAACAAGAAATCACCGTATCACTAGAGCTCTACCGGGGTCTAAACTTGGTGTCATTTTCACGCTTCAAATTTTATTGTATTGTGTAGAGTTTTTTTTTGTATATAAATACTAGAAACCTCTTTACTGTCGTTTGTTGTGGCGTTCAAAATGGTTGCGGCTGCGTCCAAAATGTAATCCGTAATCCCTCCAATCCACCGACTCACCACTACCTGCGCCTCACCACCAAACCAAACCAAATGCTAAATGCTTCTTTGGAGACTTTATTAAATGTACAAAATATCTATTTAACATGTCATTGATCGCGTTTGAGGCTTCATGGGCTTGTGGAAAACCATTTATATATTTTTGGAGAGTTTGTAGAAATTGGAGAGTTTTTGTTTGTACAAAATTCTGCATTTATTGCGCAGGACGTGTTGAAAACTCGTTTCAATGAAGCCACAACGTTGAATGCCAACCCTACACAAAAGTCTCCAAACAATGACGATACGGAAATCGTTGTGGTGAGCGATACAGTGCGACAGAGACGTGCACGGACACCGCAGGCCGGCGAATCACCATCTACTAAGTCTCCAGCAGAGTCTCCCACAAAATCCGTGGAGACCCCATCCGAAGCCAGTGGCGACCAGGTGCTGCCTGATGTCCTGCCGCCGCAAACCTTCCGTTTGGCAGAATCCAGCACTTTGTTCTCCCAAATATCGCTGAACCCAGCGAAAGTCTCCAAATCGCCAGCACCGCCAAAACCCAACAAAACAAAGCGAAAGGCGCCCGCCATTCCCGCCCAAATGGTGGAGATCAAGGTGAAGAACATCCAGAACGATAAGATGTCGGTGCAGAACATCCACCACGGCACCATGGAACCGCATCAGGGGGAGATCGTGTCCACCGTCAACATTCTGGAGAGTGTGGAGCCGTTCGTGCCCGAGTATGTGGAGACCGTGCAGATTGTGGATCTCTCCGAGGACTCGGATTCGTCATCGCTGACCAAGAGCAAGCACTCGCTCTGCGAGAGTCCCCTGCCCAAAGGGCTGGATGATGAGGAGACGCTGTTGCGTCCTGGCGATGGCAACACGAGCACGCCGTTCCTGCGCGTGGAGAAGCATCGCATCTCCTTCGATGAGAAACGCAAGCGAATTGCCAACGAGCGGGATATCCTCAGGGACTCGGAGGAGGATGAAGATGTGCCCAAGACCCCTGACACACCAAGAGCCCCTCAGGTGTCGAAGCCCAAGCGGTGGCGTCACCTTCAACCAGGCACGCCCGACACGGAGCCCGAATCCCCAGGTCGCGATAGTTTCTATAGCCCCGACAAAGAGTCCGGTTTCGATATAGAACCTTTGGTATTCTCCGACGATGAGGAGATACCGCGTTTCTCGCTGGAAATGACACCAACCATTGACTCCGATAGTGATACGGTAATTTCGGGGAACCAAATCTCAAGGGAAAATATCCTTAAAATTAAGTTTACAATTATTTACACTATAAATATGATTGTTCTTCCTCTGTAGAGTCGCATCGAGACGCCTTCGGCCAAGAAACCAGACTCCTTTTTGAGCAAGGTTCTGCATTCCATGCCCTCGCCCGCAGATGATTCGAATGTGACCCTCAAGAGTCCACTGGGCGGGCAGGAGCCCCAGAGTTTGGATGATCGTGTGCGAGAGTTCGATAAGCAGGCCAAGCAGATGATCTACAAATTGAAGCTAACGAAAGCCAAGATCGAGCACTGTCACGAGAGTGAAGCGTAAGGGGGGAATATTTCCCATTTAAACTGATTTTTGCTAATGAATTAATCTTTCTGTAGAGAGGATCTACGACTGCTGATAGCACCCGATGCGGCCACATTGATATCCCAAGGGGATTCCTTGGTGCTAGAGACCCATGGCAGACAGGGCAGCATCTCGCGTTTGGTTATGCGCACACAAATCATACTCCGCGAACAATTCCGAGAAGTGCAGCAGGCGAGGTTTGAAATCAAAGAAAAATCTATATGTGCCACTCACTCACTTATGGGAATGTTTTCTACACAGATCAAAGACCATGGGCAGTGGTGCGGCTGCTCCGCCGCTGGAAAGCGTGAACATCGAAGAGCTTGTCACCAAGGGACTGCGTCGCATAAATGTCTTGATTGAGAAACCTGTGGACTTGAAGTCCAGCGGTGATCTTGAGAAGCGCATGGATGATATCAATGTAAGTTCTCGCATATCCCATGCTCTGGCTGGATGCCAGATGCCAAATGCCAGATATTTGCATTCGGGGGTAACATCTGGTTGTGCGAATCAAATAAGATGTATTTAATCGCCTGGCATTACTCATCCGCGTCACACGCAGCGGTTGCTGATCGCTGATAGAAAGTTAATTGCCCTCTCGAGGCATTCCGATCTACAGAAGGAAGATGCACTCCTCCTATAGAGGAGGCCCCCACAATATTTCTAGCGTGGCTAAATGGGTCCATTAGAAGGCCCAAAAATAAATATTTCTGACACAGTTACACGACGACGACGACGACGACAGCATTTGTGTGCATTTGTTAGGGGATTTCTTTTGTAGGTCAGAACTTAAGAGTGCAAAAGTGAGAAATAAAAGAGAACTAAGAGACGGATCTGGCTGACGGATGAAGAGATCTCTGCAGATTCAGCTGATGGATGATGGATGATGAGTGCTTGAAGGGTTGCACATGTCATGTTTTATCAGATAAATATTCCTACATTTTTCTTTGCTTGATTTTTGATAAATTGGATGTATGAAAATTTATGAATGGGAAATGTCATTTATGATAGAAATCAAAGAGAAATTTGGAATGGGAACTTAACATAGAAATTGTTGGGGGGAAACGCAGAAATTTTATAAACTATTCCAACAATTACGGAATCAAATATCAAGCTACTTTCATTTTTTCTTTTTAAAAAGCTCCATTCAATCAAATATTTAAAAACTTTATTCCATTTAAAGTTTAGAGAATAAAATCATTAAAAAACGTTTCCCCGAACCACTGATCGATCCCCACACGCATCCCTAAAAAAGTTTCAACAAGTTCCCACCCCTAGACGACATCACAATCCATTAATCATTGCAATCATTTGTTGTTTTGTTTGATTTTATGGCCCCAATGTGCGAGTGTGTGTGTGTGGGGGATGGCGACAAGCGAAAAGAATATAAAAAAAATCTAAAATAGAAAAAGCGAATTTTCCGTTTTTCGAGAGTGCTTGTGAGAGAGCACGCGAGAGAAAGAGAGTGCGGAAAACTTATTTTAAAGAGGAATCTCCCCGCCATACATACGAGCATGTTTCTCTTTTTCAGTTTTAAGTTTTATTTCTATTTGGATTTTTATGTTTTTTGTTTTGGGGTTTGCGGCACTCTTCAGTAGCGCGGCATCTCGTGGCGCAAGCGGTTCTTCTCTTTATATATATTTGTGTGCGTGTTGATTCGTTGATTGATTGTAAATTTTGCGGAAAATTCAGTTTTTGGGCGCGAAAAGAAAAACGCAACGCGCAGTGTAACCAATTTTTGTGAGGAACGGAATCAAATGCTATTTTGTTGGTTGACAAATGCTGTTAGAGGAGAGGTAGCACCGCCCCAGAAGCAGTACAGGAACAGTCAGTCGTCCCTCCATCATCATACCAGAACCAGAGACGCATTTCAGTTTCCCTTAGCCCCCAGAGAGAGAGAGAGAGAGCGAGCGAGCGAGTCCTTGCATGATTGCAATTGAAATTGAATTCCCATCGCCGTTGGCCATTTTGGTTCCGTATGTGTATTGCAGCTTCCGCTTGCCCCTCCCACCCCACCCCACCACACGTCACTCACACACATTTATTGTGCATCTTTGAACAGAGCTTTAAATGCATTCTTTTATTCCTGTATTTATTCTATATTTATTTATTTATTTATCTTTTTCTTGCAGGAGCGACACGACGATTTACAGGTGATTGTCGGCGCCATTGGCAAGAACGCCCAAATGCCAAAGGTGACGCCCCTCATGATGAACGAAATTGAAAAGGTTTGAACATATCCCCCCCACCTCCACATATCCATCCCCATATCCATTGCAATCTGTTTCCATTTGTAACTGCTGCTCTGTTCTTCTCTCTGTTCTTTTGCACAGACGAAAAACAATTTGATTGCTCATGCGGATGCCATTGAGCTCTCATTGACGGAACTGCGAAATGGCAACCGAATTTCCAATGGCAAGGAAAACGATGAAAGAGTGCCGCCCATTGCCGCCCAGCGTTCGGGTGAGTTTTTCCCTACGCCGCCCACCCACCACCTACTGGATTGTTGATTGTTTGTAATAGTTTTCCAAAAGATCGTATCCCCTCAGCGTACTCCTCTCGTATTGTTTCTGGGCTCCTCAATTGTGTTTGGCTTACGCTCGAGTTGATGGCTTAAATGGCAGAGAAGACAGTGGCAGAGTTGTTGACTGGGCTAAAAGGCTTGACAATTGAGGGCTCTAAGTACATAAGAACTAAGGGCTTAGAATGTGTGTGTGTGTGTGCTCTTGTGGCTCTGGCAGAAGATAGTTTGAGTTGGTTTTAAATGCTTTTATTGGTGCATATTTAAGGGAAAGGAATATAGAATTTAGGGAATTTAATGAGTGATTTAATCCTATTTACTTTCCCTACCCTACCCTTTCCTGTCCTAAATTCCCACTAAAAAAAATGTAAACCCAATCAATATTTTATTGAAATTCCCACAACATTCTCTGGCATATTTTCTGCATATTTAATCAAATATTCCACGCAAAGTGAAGTAGCCTTTTAATAGCACTCCTACATATATCCCCCATCGAGCTATTCATTTATTAATTTCAATTTTCCCTTATTGAAAACAGTTTAGAATTTCGCCAAAGACTGGCGTTTGTTTTTAATATTTTTGTTGCTTTCATTAGAAACCCAATTAAAATTCTGTATTGCTATCGAATGCCATGCAAATATTTATCCATAATTGAAATTCAATAATCACTGGCGGCGTCTCTGCCACTCCCCTTTGAGTTGTAGTGTTTTCTTTGGCAAAAATATGAGCAGACATCACAGACAAAAAATAATATCGTAATGTGAAAAAGGGAAAAACTCTTGAAAAAGCACGCATCGCGCACAAGTATTTCGTTTTGTTTTCGTTTGCTACTTTGTTGCAGTTTTAATTGGGGTTTTGGTTGGTGTTGGGTTTTTACTTTTTTGTAGAGCAGAAAAGTGTATGTAGGGTAGCATATTGGATGTCATTTCATAGCCTATGAAATTCTGTATTATAGATTAATAAATAGCTTCAAAAAGGAATGCCTTCAAAAGCGCTGAACACTACCAATTACAGGGTACTCCTTAGGCCCATATTCCTATTTTATTTTCACATGTTTTCCTTTGTTATTATTTGTTTATATTTTGTATGGTAAAAAAGGGCAGGCCGAAAGCCAGGCCAGCCGTGAAGCATGCGTCCGTCCAGTCGCCCGTGCAGAGCGGCAATCGGCAGCAGCAACAGCAGCAACAGCAGCAGCCAAATGCCGCATGTCAATGGCACTTTTGACATTTTATGTGAATGTTTTTGGTGTTGACTTACTTTAACAGAAAAAAACACAGGGCGGCAGTGTGGGGAGTGTGGGCAGTGCAAGGGCCCCCAATCTGGTGGCACTGTTTCTGTTTCTGTCTCGTATTTCCCGTTGCCATAACACAGATGCAGCCAGATGCTGATAAATATTTCCGAATGTCAGAACATCAGGCAGGCAAAAGAGAGATAGAGGGAAAGACTGCCAGGGGGAAGTGCGTATCTCTGTCTTTCGATTCGATTAACATTCGATAAAGGTAACAGGCACCGTCTGTCGAATGGCAGATTGAATTGGCAGATAGTCCTTGTAATTCTTTCGAAAGAGTTTAATCATTTAATGCAATTTTTAGCTTTGATATTTAATTAAGGAAAAGGGCATGGAGATGCCTGGAATACAATTTTTGTATTTCCCTGAACTTAAGTCAGCTTTAGGATCCTATTTTGGTATTAAATAATATTTTAAAATGGCTTTAAATTATTATAAATTAAATATGATCAGATCGAAGGGAAAGATACTTAAAGTAAGAACTAGACTGGAAATTTGCTCAAATAACGGCTGGGCAAAGGAGCGCGCTGCTCATAGTGAGCAAGGAAAAGTGGGAGCTGTTTTTTTTACCCACTTTTCTTTTCTCAATCTGAATACGTTCTCTTTTCCCTCTCTGACGAACTGAACTTGATGTTCCTTCGTGTGCGATTGCGCTTCATGCCTTGATGCGTGGAGCTCCTGCGGCTGCTGCGCGAACGATAGCTCCGCACGGAGTCCGTTTCGCTCTGCCGTCGCGACGATGCCGCGGACGGCATCCTTGTGATTGTCAGCTGATCGCGTTGCGTCTTGATCAGACCCTGCGTCCGTATAAACTCCTCGAGCTCGGTGTCCACCTCCTGGTCATGGCCCTTGTCCTTGTGCTCCACCACCGGCTTCTGCGGCACAGCCATGATGATGTCGCTCATCTTTCGCCCGTTTTTGGCAATGGTGAACTCGTCCTGGTAGAAGAGACGCCGCCGCTCCTCGAAGGACGGCTTCATGGTGCCGGAATCGCGACTGGTGACCGTCAGGATGCTGCCGTCGCTGGTGAGGAAGGAGCCGGTCTGGCGCCCCGAATTCATGCTTAGGCAGGAGGTGGACTTGACATCCTCGATGTGGGCGAACTTCAAGGCAACGGTCACCTGCTTGCTCCTTCGACGGCGCCGTGAGCTCTTCGGAGCGGGAGCAGTGTGGGGCTCTGCCCCAGTGGTGGCCTCCAGGTGTTTGGTCAGCTCCCGAGCATTCAGGATGTAGCCCTTCTTTGGATGCGGCGTGCCAATGCCGAGGGCTCCTTTGATAGCCGGAGACATGAGGTTGTGCGAGGAGCGTGCTCCGCCGTCAGAAGTCCGTCCACGTTCCAAGGAGGCGCGCGAGGCAGGAAGATGTCCGTAGGAGCTCCGCTGTGCCCCCAACGAGTTACGTTTGGTCTTGGCGACACTCAGTCGTCGGATGAGCGACTTGGGATCGATGGCCTGGCCCTTGCGGGGATGCGGCGTGCCCAGCAGAAGGCTGGTACTGTCCCGCACGGGTCCTGGGCCCGCCTCCACACTCGGTGTGGGCGGCATATGGGTGCCGTCTGGATCCGCACTGTAAGTCGACTGATTGGAGGACACCGTCTTCAGGCCCTTGCTGGAACTGGAATGGATATGTTTGCTCTCCACCAGACGGGCCTTCAGCAGACTCGGATCGACGGGCTGCTCGATCCGCGGATACGGCGTATCGGCCTGCCGAGAGGTCTGCATCAAGCCATATTCGCGCAGGTTCACGGCCACCGATTCGGTGGGCGAGAACTTCAATCGGAACATGCGCTTCCGTATCGAATCCTTCGTGTTCGATGCGTCGGGCTTCTGCCGGCTCATCGATGAGAATTTGGGTTTCCTTGCTGGAGGGTCCGGTGAATCCTAAGGATTGTAGAGTTTTAGTGGTACGTCATAGCCCGGCGGGTGCGGTTTGTGGTATTACCATTCTTTCTTTCTTCTTTCTTTTTTTTTTATCGTTTTTGAGCGTGTGGCGTGTGTAGCCCTATTTCTGTGTTTGGTATTTCTGTTTGTTTTGTGATTGATTACGTTTTGTTTATATGTCATGTGAGTTTTGGCTCAGAAAAGTAAAGGCACACTTGAGTTTCACTGAAATTAAGGCTGTTTTTATATTTCTTTTTAAACTTGAATTTAAATTTGAAAACACTGCTTTGCTGCGCAGGCAATGTGAAACGGTTAAACTGCTTAAGCGGTTAAACTGCTTAAACGGTTAAACTGCTTTACATACTGCTTTGACTGCTTGGACTGCTTTGCGTTATTCGCCTACAGAAGCTGGCTAATGTATCACTCATTTTCAAAAATTCAAATTTTCAAACCAAACCAAAGCGTTTCCTCTCTTGCTTCATCCGAACTTTAAGCTCATTTCTATAGACCTGTGCTTTTTCAAAGGACTTCCTGTTTTTGCCGCCTTCAAACAGCTGTTGGCGGAAATAGCGAAACATTTGAAAAGAAAACGTTCAGCGACAAGGAAGTAAACAAGTCCCACGAAAACAGGAAACAGCAATAAGAAAGTTGTGAATTTAATAAAATATACAAAAAGGGAATATATAATAATAATTATAAATGTGAAACAACAACAATCGAAATCGAAATAATAAATAAATAACATCCAAGTTGAAGGTGCTTCAAGGAAATGTACAAAAACGTCGAACATTAATCTGAAATGTTGGAAAATTGTTTACTGAAAGTGAAGGTTTTGTGAATAAAATAAAAATAAAAGTAGCTTAAAAATGATTTAAAAGCTTAAATTCTTTCAAAAGTTTAAAAAATATTTTAAATTGCTTACAAATCACTCAAAAATGCCCAAAAACTACACAAATAAAAGTGAACTGTGAATAAAGTACATGAGAAGTGAATCGAAATCAATAATTGAAAGTGAAACGTGATTGATTAAATATCAAAATATCGAAGCACAGCAAATATGAATTCCAAATATATTCGAAATATATTGAAAGCAATTAAAAAAATGAAATAAACAAAAGGTATAACCAAAATTGTTCCTTTAAAAATCTCAAATTGTTCCGCCAAAAATAAAAAGTCACAAAGTGAAAAATGAAACAACATTCAAGGTCGTGGGGCACTCGTATAAAATTGGCAAACCTCTTGAGCCTTTGAGCCTTTAAAAAGGAGTTTCTTGCCCTCTTGCTCAGGTGTCCTCAATATTAGGTGGTGTCCTTTAAAACAGGACGACAGGAAAGGACAGAGGAAACAGCAACAGCAACAGAAGCAGAAGCTTCTCCTTCTGAGTGACAGCCATGCTGCTCGCTGGGGGGAGAATTTCACGCTTTCTTTGGCTTTTAATGAATTATGACATTTTCCTGGTAGACCGAACGAACGCTTTTGCTTCCGTGATAAGAGGTGGTGGGAAGGTGGTGGGAGGCGTAAATGTAGGGAGAGAGTGTGCTATCAGTGGTTCCCTTACTTTACTTGCCTTTCATTTTCGTTGCTTTTCTTTGGGTTTTTTATTCTTACATTTTAGATGTATGATATTTTCTACCATTTTGCACCTGTCCTGCTGCCATTCCACAAAGGGGTGTACGTACGCTAGAGAGGGAGGGAGGGCGGTAGGGACATTCATCAGGGAATGAAGTGAAAAGAAAATTTTACACTTAACGTGTTTCTTCGCTCCACTTTGCTACTTTTGAGGTGGGCTTCCTACCCCCCGCCCATTCCTTTTGTGTAGGAGCCCATGTTATTATTGCTTTTTGGTTTGCTTCCCCCCTCTCCCATTCCCCCATGCATATCCTTTTACACTCCTGTTTTCCTTGCGCATATATATTTGCTTAACAGCTTCTTGTGTGCTTCAAACTCTCCATTCATTCGCTCATTCCCTCATTCACCCAGTCACTCATTCAGTCATTCGCTTGCTGCAGCCCCTCAGTCGCTTCCAAATGCTTTCAGACGAACTGCCTCCTCCTCCTCCTCAAGTTGACACAGCCCTAGGACTATGTCCTGCTCGTCGTCGTCCTGTGTCCTGATCCTAACGTTTTCAACTGTCGTCTTGGACTTGGCATTTGTCGCCCCTCAAGTCCCTTGTCCTTGCAGACGCGTCGGCCGCGCGAGCGCGCCTAATCCTGTCCGGGACATGGGCGATTCCCCCCCCCCCCAAAAACACACACACACAGAAATAAAAGTCAATTTTTGTCCTTCTATTTGTCTTTGTCTTGTGTGCCGTTAAAGGAGGCAGGGTATGCTGATTATTGAGCGGAGTTTGCAAAGATCGCGTGGAATATTTTCAAAATTTTCCCTTTTAATGGAAGCTTTTGGAAGCCCAGCATCCGATGAATGTCTGAAATGCTGGCCAATCTTTAAGGGTATTAAAAGTTTCTCCATAAAACCTCAACATATTTTCATTGTATTTTCTTTGCCTTTGGTTTTGGTTTTGCTCGTAGTTTGATTTTGTTTTCACGGATTATTGGAAGGGAAGAAACTTTCATAACTTTTGCACAGAAGGATCAAAGTTTTGGGCTCCCTCCACAAAAGAAGACACCTTTTCACCGTTTTCTGCTGCCGCTTCTTGTTCTCCTCTACTTTTCCTTTTGCTTCTATGCCTACTTAAGCTTTTCTTTCGATTCCTTTCGCTTTGCGATTTTTTGTTGTTGTATTCGAAGTATTTTAAGTGTTTCCTTTTTCCCTTTTCAAGTTTTTTTTTTCGCAGAGATATTTGCACCCTGGTCTCTGCTGTGCGCTTTGAATGGCATTCCGATTGAAAAATTGTCATTTAATGGGCAGCAAAAATGGGGGAAATTCTAAGGGGAAAAGGAGTTGCAGGAGGGGGCGGTGGGACAAGAATAATATTATTATGTGCTGCTGCTGCTGCACTGTCGTCAAGTATTTTCCCTTTGCTTTGACTGAAGTCGGCATCCGAGTGTGGCAGTGGAACAGTAGATGGATTCCAAATGACAAGCAAAGCAATTGCTTAAAGTGGTTACAATGTCATGGGTATTGGGATGAAAATGTGCCCATCTAAAGGTTTAAATAATATACAGAAATAATTAATAGTAAATGAAAGAAAAAGAAATAAATTTAATAAATAATAGCATAGCATAAATGAAAGCAACAACTTCAAATCAAGATTATATATCTAAAAAACAGATCTAGATTCTTCAGAATCTTAAAGGGACATCCAAACACCTGCCAACTGTTTTCTCGAGGCAGAAACGTTTTCTTTTTTTCACTTTACAAATACTAACAGAAGGAATAGCGAGAGTTTGGGGATATATTCTTAGAGGAATACCGTTCTTAATACATTTTTATAGTGGATTCCTGGAGATCTTTCACTTTATTTAAGTTTTGTTGAAGATTTTAAACTATAATTCTGCTTGAAAGTTTCCGCTTTAAGTTCCAAATTTGTTTGCTATTTTTTATAGCCTTTTGCCCCACTGTGTCCCACTGCTTGTCCATCAACCGAAGACACTTGAAACTTTTGCTTCATTGAAATAGTTTTTCATTTACTTGCCTTTTGCTTAAATGTGCAACAAAGTAAAGAGATGATAAGGAGATGGAAAAAAGGGATAAAGAAAGAGGAAAAACCAAAGAAAAAATACGAGGGAAAAAATAAAGAAGAATACGCAGCAACAAAGACTGCAACAAGAGGAAGGGAAAAAGAAAAAAAAAAATAGGAGGAAAAACAAGAGGGAAAACTCTGAGAAAAAAGAGGGAGAATAATATTGCAGTTTAAAGGAAACGAAGGAGAGAGAGAGGTAGGAAAAGATATTCAATACGCAGCTGGTGCTGACCCCGTTAAGTATGCAGCAAACTGTGGTCAAAAGAGAGAGAAAGCAGCAGGCAATGAGGCAGCAGGCATCAGGCAGAGGATGACCGCAAGACCAACCAAGCCCCCGCGCTTTAATGAGAGCAACTTAATCATCATCATCAGCGACCTGCTCTCCCAGCCGTGACACGTGGACCCATGAAGGGAGCTTCATGGGAGGAGAACCTGTCACTGAAGGGACACCTAATTAGCAAAGAGTTTTCGCCCCCAACCCACCCACTATTTACCCTACCCTACCCTACCCTCTCTTTTCGCAGCAATTTTTCAAAAATCTTATCTCCACGGATCTTTTTTTTCTGTTTTTTATTTCTCCACAGAGTACAATAACGAACCGAGCGGCAGTGGAGCGTTGGCCGGCAGCTTCGATAAGTCTGTGCTGCAAATTTCCGATTGGTTGACTTGGGAACAAAACATGATCAAGATACAGAGTGTCCTGGTCGAGGATGTGGATGCCATTCGCTTGGCCATCGAGAAGCAGGAGGTGTGCATTATTCACTATACCCCCCATTGCACCATTGCATTGCACCCCCTCTTTATGCATTCTCTTACCATGATTCTTCTCTTCTTCTTGTTTTTTTTTTGTGCGCCGAACAGAAAGTTTTACGTGAATTGAAAATGAAAAAGCCACAGCTCAATGAATTGGTTCACACGGCGGAAGTGCTCAAAGGCGATATGAAGCGTCAGCAATTGCAGGAGAAAGGTAAGCAAAACTTATATGGAAAATACAATGGGAAATGCTATGATAAGTGGGTAAGGGAATAACCTGAAGCCTGGATGTGAAGACTTTCCACATACAAATTGGCAATTATTGGGCTACACTTATGCCAAGAGAATCTGCCGTCTAAAGATTTCAATTTAAGTTCTACAATTTAATACTTTTTCTATTCAACATTCGAATATATTCTGTGAAAATATAGCTGCATAAGTTAAGTTAATTTTATAGAATTTAAATGACAATTTCGTATTCCGTTTAAGCATCAATTTCCGCATTGAATCAAACCCAATTTCCGTGCTGCCCAAACGCCTTTACCCTTCGATGCCGTTCGGTTTTTAAAAGAGAGAGAGATAATTCCCATTAGTTACCTTCCAATCAGAGCGCCCAGGCCAGCCCTCCCACCCCTGCTTAAACTCAATCATTATGCTATCCATCAGGCAATTTCTGTTCCTCTGTTCCTATACGAGTATAAATTCCATGAATATCCCATCGCAATTGCAATTAATGTTTGAATGAAATTGTCCCCAAATTGGCTTACATTTCTGGCGTACTCGTATGGAAATTTCATTAGGCCTGGTTTTTGCCTGTCTGCGATGGAGTGACATTGGAAACATGGTTCCATTTCCTTTACCCCACACACACTCACGGCCAGAAATCACTTCAGTGCAAACAAATTTCCGCCAGGCGAGACAGACAGACACACGAAAGTGCATGAAATGCACAGAAAGGAAGGGAATCCAGGGTAAGGGTTGCCAGAGGCAGGAGCCAGGAGCCAGGAGCCAGGAGTTGAGGCAAGACATATGAGAGTTTTGTAGTGAAAACAGCAAACAGACAGCAACACCCAATGGATGGCCACTTAAAATTGGTAATAGAGGTGAAGGAGAAACGACACACAGAAGGCTCTGAAAGCGAGGAAAGGCACCACAGAAGAGGAGTCCCGGAGAGGCACCACAGAAGGCTCTGAAGCGGAGGTGAGCTGGTCTCTGGCAATGGGGGAATGTGGCTATGGAGCCTCTCGTCATCATTTGCATAATGGGGCCGTGAACCTCCGACCATCCGACCCCTCCTCTTCCCTGATAAAACTTCTTTAATTTGTCTGAATGTCCTGACTGTCTGTGGCGAAGGAAACAATGTCAAAAACAAACACACAGACTCAAGGGAAGAGAGCGGCGCACAGTGACATAAAGAGAGGGAGAGAGAGAAAAGAGAAACCAAGAATAATGTCAAAGGACAGTGGTCAAAAGTTCCAAAAAAAAAACCAAACACAAACAGCAACAAGAACAAAAACGCTAAACAGAGACAAAGTTGTAGCTCCATAAATCGAAGCATTTTGTACCCCTAAAGAACCCATTCTAAAAGTAATACTTAAGGCCATAATTGAACTATTTAATATTCAAAAGAAACATCCATAAATGATTGCAAGATCTTACAGAGAAACGATTGAAGAATGACATTAAATAATGGGGCTATATCGGCAGTCGAACTATGTCTGATCAAGAATATATATCCCAGTAATTTGTAATATTAAAAATACCTTTTATTATGTGTTAAAAATAACTGCAAAAAAAAAAACTGATCAACTGATTAATACCCAGGAAATATCATGTTGAATATCTCAACAGACGTTCGACAAAAGGTGTTGCATACTCTTGGGCTGAAACCCACCTCACAGTTGTAGAGCCACTAAAGCACAGTTGTAGAGCCACTGCCCAAAGAGAGCAAGCCTTTCCTTCTGCCTGAAGGAGGAGGCGCATGCTCTTTAATTTGGTTTTTTTCCTACTTCTTTTTCTCTGTTGATTTTTCTCTGCGGAATTTTAATGTGGCAGGCTGTGGCAGGCAGAGCAAGAGGCATGCAACATTTATGCCAGTTGACATTTAATTGACAAGAGTGAAAGAGAGAGGGGAGGGTATGGGCTGGGATGGGTGGGAGTGTGGGAGAACCCAATGGTAACTGAAATATTTGTATGGCCTGCTCTTTGCTTGGTGGCTGGGATTACCAGGAGGTGGGACGGAGAGATGAGTGGTGGCAGCAGAGTGTGGGCTGGGTGTGTGTGGCATGTAGCATGTATGAGGCATGCACTGCTTGTTACATATTATTATGATGTTTGGTTTGTCATAAACATTTGTAACTTGTCCAACGAACGTCCCTTCTGTCCCACTCCATCTGTGGCTCTCCCCTTCTCCCGCTCTTCGCTTATTTGTACGTGCCACAATGTGTTGCACACAGGCTTCTGTGTCGTTGGCTTCTGTGTGTTGCAGGGCAGCCTCTTCTTGCATTTGGGAGTTGCAAACAGTCGGCCGTTGCTTTTGTTGTGATTTCCCTGTGCAGCAAAGGACATTTTATTTTTGTGCTGACATTGCTTTAAATTTTATTTAAATATGTTATAGTTTTTTTTTTGGAGATATTTAACTGGAAATTAAATTTATTCGCCTTCAACTTCCACTGCTCCCGCAACTTCTTCTTAATTTTAGACACCTCTTCCCTGTCTTTTACTAACTCTACTCTAGTCCTCTCTCTGCGGCTGATGCCCTCCAAAAACCTTGACAGTTGTGGCCAGAAAATGGTCCCCTCTGCTGCTGCTACTGCTGCTGCTGATGTTGTGCTGCCCATAAACTTCTGGCATTTGGCCAGAAAACTCTGGCAAAAGTATGGCCATCAGGCGACGAGCATTGTATTTCAATTTGTTTTCCCCACCCAACCAAAGCAGTTGAATATACCCACCCCCGCCCCGATTCTAGCGTAAAAACAGGGTCACCTGAGGACCATAGTCCATTAGCAAAGAGGTGGCATGATCAGAGCAAAAGGACCTGCTTGAAGGATAGCGATTGAGGCAGGATATAGAGCAAAGGTGCCCCCAATTAATTTGCTATTTTTGTAAGTCTTTCGGGGTCTTAATTAAACCATTATTTACGAGGTATTATCGCAATCTGTGCGACTGCACCTTTCTTTTGGGGGCTCAGCTTTCGGCCAGGCCAAGAGTCACACACAAACTTCTTGCTGGCCCCTCCCCCCTCGCCCAAAGTTCTTATCACACAGGAAGTGTGGGAGTGTTGTGGCACGTACAATTGTGTTAATGTGCCTAAGTGTTCTAGTCAAATTGAACGTGTACCAGAAAGCTTTGGTAACCAAGACCCGTTACAATCCATCCTTGTTTTATAGACCGTACTTCTTAAATAGTGTGTATTAATTATAAAAAGAAAAACAAAAATTAACCCCCAATTTTTGAAGGGTGTGCGAATCATGGGTCCGGGTAGGTTACTAAAGGGTGGTACACTGTAACCAATAAAAATTTGTGCGAATTATTTTTAGGGTGGGCGGCGTGGTGGGCCAGGCCTTACAAAAAAAATTATGTAGTGTGCGGTAGGGTTTCCATTGTTAGGTCCACGTGGGTGGGTCGTTGGCGTGGGGCTGCAGTACAATTTGGTGTTATGGAGGCTAAAAGTTGGCACGTTATACTAAATTGAAAGCTGGAAGGCTGCGGGCCCACCATATAAGTAGTACTTTCTAGCGCGGTATATTATGGTTTTGAGCATGGTGCTTTAATACTTAAATTCAAATTACAGTAATTGTTAAAAGTCTAAGTAATGCTAAAATACCCAGACTCGCTAATTGTTTTTATCGGAAAAGTCGACGCAGGCCAACTGTCCAACTGGTATAAATCATCAATATGCTGTACCATACTTGTTACAAATCCGTACCAGGCCAAGTTTAGAGTGGTTCATTTATTGGCTCATATTGAGGGGTATGACCCATACCGGCCGTTCCAATAACCAATTGATAAAAAAAAATTAAAGAACTGGACTAGTTTTATTTGTTTGTTGTTTTTTTCAAAACCTATTTACGCTTGGGTTTTAAAAGAAGGGAATGTAGGGTTTCTGGTTACCAACTACTCCGGGCTTCAGGTAGTCAATAAAGTAAAAAGTGTGTGGGGGCACTACTATTTCATTGAACACAACTGTACATATGGTTGGGGGGTGTAGTGTGGTGTATCTGCGTCTCTCTGTTGTGTGTGTGTGTGTGCCACGCCGCTCGTAAATCTGTCTTTGACATGCAATTTTAGTTCTGTGCTGCAGCAGTGGCCGGCTGTTGCTGCAACGCCAGTGTATAACCAGCAGCACCAGCAGCAGCAGCAGCAGGCAGAACATTATCTGAAAGGACAACGCACTCCAGTCCTGCCAGTGCCTGTGCCTGTGCCTCTGACTCTCTCTGTGTGGCATGCGAATTCCTACCACCCCACCACACCACACCCACGCCTCTGCTCTGCTATGAAATTGCCTCTAATTGCAGCCTTTCGCCTTGCAACGCCTTCAACTTCTCCGTTTGGGTGCTCGGCTTCACGCCATTACACGCTTTAATAGGCCTGCCCCTGCCACCAGAGCACCCTTCTTAAACACCCTCTCTCACCCTTTGTCTCTGTCTCTGTCTTTCTCTTTCTTTATGCCTCGCGTTGTCTCTTTCCTTATCTTGCTCTCGGTCTGTGTTGCCTTCCTGCTCTCATTCTACTTCTCTGTCTGGCGTGTTTCTTTGGCATGGCTTTCGGCTGAGCTTCCTGGCTTGTGTCTGCGCTTTCAAGAAGTTCGTTGCTTTTGTATGCTCTGCTTTTAAAATTTAGCAGCATATTCCCAGAAGGAACTCGTTTGGTTACACTTGAGGGAGAATTTTGGAATATTTAAGTGATATATAGATTGAGGATTGAGCTATGTGTAGCCTAAGTACAGAGAGCCTGTACTTAGAGCTGAAAATGTGACTCTTTTTTTGAGTATTTATTGTGAATAAATTGCGTGACTTTTATTCCTGGGAAGATGATGGAAATAGAAAGATTAGAATGTATTTCATTCATTGTATTAATTCATAGAAATTATTTAGTTTTGTTTCTCAATTTCCAAATTTCTACATTCTCTTATCCAACGATTCTTTCATCCACAAGTCGACTTCCATCTATTTGCCATATCTTTTATTATTTATTAGCATTTGTATAAAATAT